TCTTCGATTTTGGGCACCCATGCTAAGGTTAAGGCTATCCGCTGACCATATCGCGTGACCATATCGCGGGCTCAGGTTTAGAGTTACTGTTTTTCTATTGGATCTCAGACTCTAGTCAGGTTATTACTCTGGGAGAGAAGAAAGGAGTACGTGCAGAGGCAAAATTTCGACGCAAATAAATTCCTGGCGCTTTGTTGACTTTTCTTTCGACATATTTCTTGAACAATCGTCTCGTCAGTTTGTTAAAATTTAAATGGAAAAAATAGCGAAACCACATGCTGAACAATATATTACATGCTCACAATCCATCATTTTTTGAGTTTCTGATCCAAGAAAAGCAAATCCTGTTTTTTTCTTTATGGTTAGCTATTGCAATCAGGAGCTCCACTTTTAGGCTTGGGTAAATCTTTATATTAACGTCATAAGTATGCGTCTGTCTTCCAACTGATCATAAGTAAGAACCAATCAAAATATGAGAATTATTTGACNCTTGTCTATGTATTACTAAATCGTTGTTAATACAGATTTAATTAACAAATGGATTCCGCGTTGCCTTGCGTTTGTTCAGTAATTGATCACAGATGACGTCAAAATGTTGCAAGAAGAAAGAGGTAGCACGCGAAGCGATAGTCGAGTGTGTCACTGATGTTGACGTCATCTGTGATCTTTTACTGAACAGACGCACGGAAACATGCAGCCTGTGAGCAGGCTCTCGTCGTTTCGCTCGCTGACTCATCTCTCGCTACTCTGCTAATCGACTTTGTTCCTGCCGCATCGCACGAGAGCCAGCTGGCAGGCTAGGCAATATGGAATCTGTCCGTTTTACATAATAAAGAAACAAAAGTAAACGTTAACAGCGGAACCCCTGCGCACCGAAGACGTACCAGCGGAGCCCCATACCTTAGAAAATTTGGTAACCCATCGAGCTCAAAAATTTTGGTTGTCACGTGACTGTCCTACGTACGTCTGTACGTACGTCTGTACGTACGTCCGTACGCCAATACCTTGAAAAATAAGAGAGTAGCACCATTACCAAAGCTACATCTTCGATTTTGGGCACCCATGCTAAGGTTAAGGCTATCCGCTGACCATATCGCGGGCTCAGGTTTAGAGTTACTGTTTTTGTATTGGATCTCAGACTCAAGTTAGGTTATTACTCTGGGGGAGAAGGAAGGAGTACGTGCAAAGGCAAATTTCTGCGCAAATAAACCCCTGGTGCGTTGTTGACTTTTCTTTCGACATATTCCTTGAACAATCGTCTCGTCAGTTTGTTAAAATTTAAATGGAAAATAGCGAAACCACATGCTGAAAAATATATTACATGCTCACAATCCATCATTTTTTGAGTTTCTGATCCAAGAAAAGCAAATCCTGTTTTTTTTCTTTATGGTTAGTTATTGCAATCAGGAGCTCCACTTTTAGGCTTGGGCAAATCTTTATATTAATGTCATAAGTATGCGTCTGTCTTCCAACTGATCATAAGTAAGAACCAATCAAAATATGAGAATTATTTGACTAACATTTGTTATATAAAATAACACTATTACCATTTGGTCACTATTTTTAATGACATGAAAAAATAAAGAGGGTCTGGAATGAAGCAGGAACAGATCTAGGGAATTGAAACCCTGCAGCCCTTCCCTCCCCTCCCCTCTTTTCACTTCCCCTTCTCTCTTCTCCCCTCAAACTAACAGACGACATCGCCTCGAGGCAAAATGATCTGTTGAATAAGACACATTTTTCAAATACATGTATGACTATGGTTGACAGCAGAAATTGTTTCAGTTTCACTAGTTACAATTGCATTAAGGAAAAAGAAGAATGTAGATTAAAATAACTATATTTAGACGAGGTTCGTAGTTAAAACGAGAAACATGTGTGACAAGAGAGGCAGTAAGCACGTATGGACTGGAAAACTGAATATAAAATGATATCAGCCTGATGAAGCGTGCACTGATAATACCGTCGCTGAATACGTAGAAACATTCAGACGAATAATTAGCTTCAAAACAAGTACGTGGTTCAACTGATGTCATTTCGCTTGAAGTTATTGATTAACTATAAACATAGAAGCAATCTTAACAAGCGTTTTCTGCCTTGAAGGACTCCTGTTTTATATGCGGCAAATTTATTTGTCAGGATTTGACATTAGACCGTACACGACTGAATTTCTCAGCTTATTTCATGTGATCTACAAATACTGAATTTCATAAATGACGCGAACGAAGGTCAAGATACTTGATGATGATGTGGGGTGGCCACAAGCTGTTAAAAAAGCCGTTGTTCTAAAATCAGGCACTTAAACTCTCAAAGGCTCTCGAAAAATACTTTAGATAGACTACGGAAAAATTGGACAAGAATAGAAGTACTTGTTTGAAAAAGATTCTCTTTTCTCGCCAGAATGTTTTGAGTCTGGGAGGTGCTGTTTATGACAAAGACCGTACTGCCCACTTGGCACTCCTGCATACCACAGCCAAAAGATTGTCTGATAATGATCAGGCTTCCCGGGGGGGAGGTGTAACAGTCTGTAACAGGGCTGAAGTAAGCCAACCAGTTTGCGATGTTATCAACAGAAGTTTCGAATGTGAGTTAGCCCTTCAACGATCAAAACCTAAAATAAATTGATTAAACTTGCAGCGCGTTCACTGTTGTCAACTCTGCAAATTTTGTCTGGCTGGCATATGCGGAAATAAATTTAGAAAGCGCTTTTCACCGATCGAAGGTTTCGAAGCAGTGCAACATTTTTTTTGGAACCTAACTCGGTTGGAAATCGATTACTACTCATCAACTCAAACAAAACGGTCACGGTTTCTGTCTAAAACAATCAATCAAAAATTTCCGCTCATTTTTCAAATTTCACGGTCAAACTTACGAAAAAGAGGGATTATTCCACGTTGAACCCACCCTTTCCTCACGAAATTGACAGCTTAATATCCCCCCCGGAAAACAAACGCCTGTTAACAACAATAAAAAGACCGTTCTAATTAATTCTTGAACACGCGAACTTAAAACCGAGAAACATTGTAAGAAAACTAGTCCGATTGATTCGATGACAACATGTATGTTTGTTAGGTCAGTGAGGAAACATTCGTAACCAAATGAGGTTCTAGTTTTGCAAGATCAGAATTTTTAAAATGTTGAAACAGCGAGTCAAGTAATAAGATGGCTATGGAGTTGTGATTTTCGGGGTTTTAGATGATATCAGACAATTAACTTCAGAAGCGACATTTTTTGGAGATATAAGTATTAAGTTAAGCAAAACATTTCACAGTTTTCTCCGTGTTATGTCGTGACCTCGTCAAGGTTTTCGCAGCTCATGGTTAAAGTTTCCGGAAAACGATAAAACATGGACAACAACGTCAGTTTTAATGGACAAGAACGATCCTTTGCAACAAGTGCATGGATGAACGGATCAGCCGCTTACAGTGTAAACCCTACAACAGACACTCCGCTTGGCGAGTCGTCGGAATTCACAACTCTAAAGCTGCTTTTGTACTTCATCATTTTAATCTTCAGCTCTCTCGGCAATGGCCTTGTGTTCTACTTGATTTCTTGCAATCGTCGCCTGCGCCAGACCTCGTCAAACAGGTTGCTCTTGAATCTGTGCGCGTGTGATTTTCTCACTCCGCTTCTGAGCATTCCCTTCGATTTAGCCTTGGAGGAGCGAAATTACGTGTGGCCGTACGGTGCTGTCATGTGTAGGGTCCTTTGGCCGTCTTCCACGCTAACAGCGACGGCATCTGCACTCACCTTAGCAGCCATTTCGTTAGATAGGTGAGTTTACTTTTAATAAAACTGTAAACACGATTACATTTTGCGTTGTTTGCAATAACAATCTTGAAGTAACAGCAAGGTAACTCTGTACCTACAACGTCGTTCTTGGTTCGTATAGATTGCACCTCACTCGAAATCATTAATCACACGTCTATATTAATTCAGACATCGTCCATCACACACAAATTGTTCTGATTAAACTGAGCAATTACGCAGGTCTCAAGCCCTGTTGAAAATTTAATTTCAAATAGGTCGTAGCTACGTGGCTGTGAGATTATATACAGTTCTCATTTTAGAGAGGGCAAGTTTCTTGCGAAATCTGAAACTTTGCCTTCGAAGGTGTAAATTAATTTTTTTTTCAGTCTGTGGTATAAAAGATATGAAAGTTTTTGTTTTGCAAATTGTTATCTATAGAACAATTACTAATTAAGTTTCAAACATCCGCATCGAGCGCAGCATATTTTATCCAATCGAGATTGTGTTATGACTGTTGATGTAGTAACTTAGCAATTTCAAGTGTATGGAATCTGCAAGGATAACTTTGCAAAACTTAAAACGAACTCCAATTTACGGGTCGGCGCATGAAACCACAACGAATTGATCGTTCCTTCAGGCACATATTGTGGTATGACATACAGTATATTTGAGTCAAATGCTACTGAAGTGTTTTCATTAAAATTTAATCTCCTGAGTTGAGAAAACGTTCAATAATTCTAAGAGATCCTGGAATTACAAAACACAGGCATAAGTAGAAAGAGGTTGAGCTATACTATTATGTCGGTTTTCCCTTGAGCAACAAAGAAATTAAGTATACTGAGCACATTATTACGCAGCACGCACAACCTTATATAGTACACATTGATCACCTTCCAATTTCTCCGTACAGTATTAATACAGTGTAAAGCAGTCAGGTGATGAGAATACGGAAAGTAATCAAGCTGCAGTCAAATGGGAGAGGTCGAGAAGTCGACCATGATTTTACGCAAGACAAAAAAAAACAAATAGTGTTTAATAATCGAAAAACTCGAAAGGGTGCACAAATGGCTGTGATGAAATTTCTGTTATCAGAAACGATTTTGGCCAATTGCAGCCCATTTGCCATCAAAAATCAGAAAATTTTGCAAATCTCAGATCTCAGCTGCCAGTTGAAATCACATCGTTTGTTAGTTGACAGTTAAATTTTTGATCAATTTTCAATTTTTTGTTCATGTTATAAACTACAGATGACCCGGCAACTTCGGTTTCTCAAGTATCAGTAAAAATTTCATCATTGAATTCTGCGGATCTCAAATCTCCGCTATCAGTATTAAAAACCACGTCATTTCTCAGATAACGTTGAAAATTTGACCAATTCCGCGCTTGTTTTTGTTCACATTATAAATTAACATTGAAAACAACCTTTCAGTGATGAACGAGGACTTGTAACTTGTTTGAAATTTCTGTTGTACCAATTAATCTTTTCGTAGATGAACTTTTTATTAAGAGGGTCTAGATAACTACACTGGAATTTCAGATGTCAGTTAAATTTTCTGAGATTTCTCAGCAATCAGTTAATATTTCAGCCCATCTCTCAGTTATCAGTAAATTCTACACATCTCTGATCTCAGCTTTCAGTTAAAAAACACGTCATTTCTTAGATAACAGTTGAAAATTTGACCAATTCTCGGCAATTCAAGTAAGCCCTATTCCAGACCCTCTTAAGAGATATCGGGTAATGTTACGTAATCGTTATGGCTGAAACCTCTGAAAGATCTAACCTTCTCGTATTCTCGATCTGGAATTCAGTGAAAACGTTGGACGGCTGAATTTACATGAGATCAGTAGGGCACTTAAAAAGTATACCATTAATTTTACTTTTCGTCTACTTTGAAATTTCGAGTCCTTGAACGGTTTGCCCCATGTTTAGATCGATCTTCGAGCCTTTTCACGTTCCGACAAGTTCTTATAATTATATAAATGTGTTTCAAACCCCCTTGAAAAAAGATTGTAGAGAGTTAATTAATTGTCATAACAATACAACGGCTTTAACTGATGATCTTCCAAATGACCTACATAATGAATTCTAATTTGCTAAGCACAGAACCTAATCGGCCTGTTTTTCACACGGTCTTTTTCATCAAAACAACCACTTACAAAGTTGGCCAGAGCCGATAGAAAATTATCCTAAGCCTCTTTATTCTTACCGCGATAAACCTCTTAAGATAAAACTGGTATGAGTTGCAAACACATTTTAAAGCACATTTTCTCACGTATCAACCACATAATACGACTAATACTGATCAGTTAAATACCTAAGATTCTGCCATTCGGAATTTGCCAACCAGCGCCTTAATAAGATTATTACAGTGTTGAAATTGAAGCACATGTTCCAACTCTAAAGTGCCCATCCTCTTATGGAAATAACCTTTGAGTGTCTTCAAATAGGATTATGTCTGTTTTTAAAAAAGTTGTTTTCAGTATTGCCGTGCTGTAGATTAAGTCTTGATTCCCAGATATAGCGAATGAAATTTTCCGGAGTCTCACCTGTCAGCAAAGAAAGCCATTCAAGCTGGGGAACTTAACACGATGGAGGGGGTACTCCAATATATAAGCCATATGAGTATGTGCCGCTGTAAAGGTTGGGTTTTCAGGCAGTTTAGTCTGGGATGGGGTGTAGAAATCAGACAGTTTTGGCCTAGAATAGAGAATAATTTACCGCCAGAGAAAGTGGCTTGTGTATAAATAATTTAGTCTAGAGCAGCGTGATTTACCTGAGGTTCTATACAAGAATTGTATGAAAAACGACTTTGCAACATATTGGGTTAGTTAGCGTATGTTGGACTAACGATAGTGATAAAGTTTCTGCATGGGAAATAGTTAGTCGAGGATAGAGTACGGGTTTTTGATGCCTAGTCTAGGAAAGGGTTGCAAAATCAAGCTGATCATGGTCTAGTACAGGGTAAGGGTTTCAGTGTCTCAGCAGCACACCCTCACCCAAAAATTTACAAAGTACCCACTCCGGGATACGAGGTTCTCTGTAAACAGCAAAAGTTAGTGGGGGAATTAACAAATGGAAGATAAGCTAAGACTGATTTGACTTCTTTACTGAGCGTTGCTAGAAGACACGATGGAGACTCCATTTTGTTTATGTAGTTCCCATGCATTTAAGAAAAAATAATACGTGCGTTTCTGCATTCTTAATTAATCTAAGTGTTTCCGATCCAAATACAAATATACTGTTTATCGTCGCCTTGACCTTTACAGCCACTCCTTTAATTTCTTCAATCTCTAAGATGAAAACATCTGAATTTGCAGAATCGTGGCACTCCGTCTTATCAGAAGAACACGGGTACTTGGTAGGAACTTTTTAATCATGTGATTTGGTCGAGTTTTGTGAATTTTGTAAACGGTGTGTTCTTCCACTGTACAGTGGGCCTTGGCACGGTTTCCTGCGCTACAGCTCTCCTTTTAAGTTTGAGTGCTGTGGGGTAGACATAGACAAAGCTTTGTTGATCGCAATAAATTCACTAGATTAATGGCTTATATTTTCTCTCCACACCACAATCTCGTTCCAAGGTCAACACATCCGGGAACGAGGTTATGCAGACCAGCATACCACACCCAATTCCCATGACGAGAACCATGCATAGACCAATTCCATATATGAGAGTTTAAAATGCATTCGGAAGCGCACTGTTCTTCACACTCAACACACAATTAAAGTTAGCTGGTGCAGAAAATACTAGTATTCGCTTATTTTTTCTTTCGATTAAGACGTTTCCTCTTTTAAATTTCACTACGTTTACTAATATCTTTTACTCTGTCATTTTACTGAGAAAAAAATAAGTTCTCTTATTATTTTCTCTTGTTCTTATAACATAGCAATTGGCACACCTGTATAAAGTAGTTACTTTATTCATGCGCGCTATGTATTGGAGATAGTGTGGCCCCATGGATTGTGCCTAAGGGCTCTGAATTGAAATTCATTAGGTTTTGCGTCCTTGCCGAGGTCCAAAACATGATCAAATAAAATTAAATTGACTGTATTAAACTTAACTCAGTTAACTATAGTACACAAATTACAATATAGATGAGGTCACGACATTAAAAAATAAAGAATATAGAAATAATAATGATTTAATAGCGAGTGATTTAGGATCATCTAAATAGCATAGCTAGCTAAAGTAGTGAATGATCTTAGTAGAATGCAGTCACAAATGGAGTTGAAAGAAGTTCATGAGATGCGTTGTAAGTCGAGCAGACAATATGAGTTTCAGGGCTTATAAATGAAACTCACTGAGGTCTACAAATGACTGGCTTGTTCAGGACCCAAACTTGTTCTAAGTTTCATGTTTATTTTTCAGATTTCGCCTTCTAATGCACCCGTTCACACCACGTCTAACCAAGAAGCAGATCAAACTCATCATCATAGGCATACATGTGTCGTCTTTGGCCATAATCATACCGTACATAGTCTTCTTGAAACTTGAAGATCAAGAATGCGTCGAGCTATGGCCAAAGTTCACTTACAGGCAAGCTTATACGGTCATACTGTTCCTAGCTCAGTATGCGCTACCTCTGGTGTTCATGACAACAATCTACACGCTGGCCCTGACAAAGCTGTACAGCGTCACCAGCAACACGACACAAATGAGATCAATGGAGTCCGAGAAATTGCGCAAAGTTTCCGCCGAGACAAACAACAACCCCACTAACATGGGTGCAGTTCGCAAGTTAAGCGCGCGAGTCGCTTACAACGTAAAACACGGCTTCGAAGTGGAGTCTAACGTGCGAGTAACGAAGATGTTCGTGGCAGTTGTTGTAATCTTCGCGGTTTTCATGCTCCCCAATCAAGTTGTATGGCTCTGGTCTGATTTTGGCGGAGGACATCACCACCACCAGCTGAACACGATTAAAATCATATGCTGGCTTTTTACGTATACTAACTGCGTATCTAACCCTGTCATTTTCATAATATTTTGTAAAGAATTCCGCACCGAACTGGTAGCATTACCGAAGAAATTTCGCAATGGACCCAGGCCCCGCCTGAGCATTTCCCGGTCGAGTGGGCCTGCTACCGAGAGTATACGATGCTTGTCTCCGCGTTCCTCCCCAGTTACAAGTCTATCGACATTAAACGAGAATAATTAATCTTACAGCGATCACATTACTGTGATAAGCAAGATGATTGTGCTGTAAGGAACACAGCAGTTTTACGAAGTCTTTGTTGCTTGACTTCAACGTCACGCGACGTGGAGTAGCTGCTACGCCTGTCCCGATTGTGCTCGTAATCTGCTGGAAAGTTGCTCACTGGAATGCCAAAAAGTTGTTAAAAAATTGCCAAAAATCCAAAAGGTTGCTACCTAAATTTCTTGATATTTTCACGTAAACGTTAATTAAAAGCTGTAGTTTTCGTTCTTCACAATAATTGCTAACGTCGGTCAAGAAAAATAGCTTGAAACTTAGCTTTAAAGAGTTGTTCGCAAAGCAGGTATCTAAAAGTGTAACTTATCAAAAAGTTGATAAACATTCAAGAAATACGCAGAAATTGAAGTTTTCTATGAAATCGTTGACTTTTTCGAGCTTGATATGTATTCTAAACCTGTTTTTGCTCATAAGTTGCTCAGAAAGGCAAAACTTGCTCTAAGTAGCTAGAACCGCATAAAGTTGCTCCAAACGCCAAAAGTTGCTCAAAGGTTGCCGAGCACAATCGGAACAGGTCTAGTAGCTGCGACAAAAATGATAAGTGCGTAGCAAAGATAATGCCCATATTGTAAAAATATAAATAATAGTAATTAGTTAACAAGTTAACAACAATTGCCTGAAAACCGTTACTAAGTGTGGAGTGAATTATATCAATGGTCGTGAATTTACGAGTCTACAATATAGGAACAAATGAGACCTTCATTACCTTTCAGAGTAAAAAAAATCTGATTGTAATTTCTACATTTCGACGCAGTCAGTGACTTATCACATAGCGTTCAAACTGAATGCGCGACCATTCAGTTTATTGTGTTGTCCAAATTAATCACTGATTCCAACGTTTTGTGTCAAAAGATATTATTAAATTTTTACGGGATTAATTCAGAATTAAACATAACCAGCTGATAGCAAAGCAAGCAGTATTTGTAAATATATGTTTAAATCAAGTTTATTATAACTTAAACTGCTTGTAGCGAGAGTGTTCCTTCGCGGAGTTTTCGTCCTTTCTTCTGTTGGCTGTTTGGTGGTTTGTTCGTGTTCTCGAAGAGGTGTAGTCACTGTAGTTGGGGGTTGATAAATTCTGTTCATACAGAATGGATTATAACCGTCAAAAAGCACATCCATGTGGAAAGTGCGTGAGCCCTTTTTTGTTGGACATTCCTCATTGAGAAGTTCACGTATACAGCTCTTTGCATTGGAGAACTCGCTGGGGAATATAAGAAGGAGAATGAAACACAGGACGTCAAAAGTTGACTGGACATAAAATAAGAGAAAATTTAATTTCAAATGATGGACTGAAACGATAGAATCGTGACTAAGTTTTTTGATTAGGAATATAATAATGTACATGTTCAATCGAAGTATGGAATTCGCCAAGGTCTGGTAAGTAATTTCAGTCTATTAAATCTTGTTTTGAAATAACCCTAAAGAAAACCAGGACGCCATCCTTTTCCACCCTGACTATCCCAGACATTCTAACAAAGTGAGCTCGTTTCTAGACTCCCGAATAAGCCATTTTACAGTTGTGTGCTTAGTTACCTGGCCTAGCAATGCAAGCTAGGCTAGAGGAGACGTTACTTTGATACAGATCTCTCTGCTTTTCTCATTTAAGGTTACAGTATACCTTCAGGGGTGTCTCGCACGCAAGCGATGTAGCGCGTGCAGTTTAAGCTGTAGATACCTAAACCCCTATATCAAATT